CACGAAGTCTTCGCGGCACTCGGGCCGGATGTCCTTGCGCAGCTTGGCCAGCAGCCGCGACGCCCACTTCTGCTTCACCTCGGCCTTCTCGCCCAGCAGCTCGTCCTTCACCGCGCGCTCCTCGTCCTTGGACATGCGCTTCTCGTGCTTCTTGAAGTATTTGCGCTTCCGCGCCTGCAGGTTGAACCAGGTGTAGGCGAAGGCGCGCACGTGCGGCAGCAGCGCCTCGATGAACGGGTGGAACTCATCCTGCGGAGAGGCGGGGAAACTGAGGCCTAGGCTGTCCCACCACAGATGCTGAGGGAGGGTCAGGGATGAAGCCCTAGACAGGCCAGCAGGGTTCCCAGGGGAGGACAGAGCGGGCTGGGGGTACGGGGGACACTCGCGACCCCGACGGGAGGACCAGGGTTCTGGGAAGGGGGCCGTCCCGAGCTGAGGCCAGCGCCGTGATGCCACTTTGCCCTGGGCTCAGGGAAAGCGACAGCGCAGCTGACTTACAATTAAGCTTCATTGGCACAAGGCAGCCGCCTCCTGGGGTCCCCAGCCGCGCAGCTACAGGGGTCCCCGGCCGCCTCCTGGGGTCCCCAGCCGCCAGCTACAGGGGTCCCCAGCCGCGCAGCGCAGGACCAGGCAAATCCGAGCGCTCAAACCATGCAGGAGCCGCAGGCCTGCGTTTCCCTCATGGAGACAACCCGGGTGGGCACCCTCGGCCTTCCCCTGGCACCATGGGAGCAGCACGGGGTGCCCTCCCCTGTGTGGGTCAGGTGGTCCTGGAGCTCCCAGTGTCTACCAGGGGAAACTGAGTCCTGGGAGGGTCAGGGCCGGATCCTCAGCCTCAGAGTGCAAGGCGTTTGAGGGGAAAATAAAATCCTGTCTCTCTCTCCCTGTTGGGGGGACATCTGGGACTGGAGCCACACACACCCCACGCGGAGGGTGGCTGCTGGGGAGAGGAGCACTCCCAGAGCTCCACTACCTGTGGCATGATGGGGAAACTGAGGCTCACACCTCGCCAAGATCTGCCCAGGGTCCCCATGGAGCCTCAAGGAGACAGGCCACAGGTCGCAGGCCTGTCTCTTTAGACAAGGGTTCTGAGTCGGGGGTCTTCTCCGGACCCCCCGGCTCACCGAGCAGCCCCCCCTCCTGCACCCGCCCCACACCCCAGAGCCAGGACACCAAATGCCACCTATTACCAAACCTCTGAAAATAGCTGGTGACCCGGAGGAGTCCGGGCCGGGCCACCCCGTCCCCCAGGCCAATGTCCTCTGAGGTGTGAGTCACTGGAACAGCTGTGGCCTGGACCTGTGGGGGGGGGGGGGGTGCTTCTGCCCTTCCCCCACATTGGCTGCGGAGGCAGGGGAGGAGATGGGGGATTGGGCTAGCCTCAGGGAGCAGGAGCAGGGGGCTCTTCCTGGGTCAGGATCGTAACTGACACGTGAGACCAGAGACAGGCGGGAACCGGGTCACACAGCCTCAGTGGGGCCGGGCAGCCGGGTGGAGGGTCCCCGGCCCCAGCATGGGTCTGTGGGTGCAGTAACCATGTGGGGGGTGGTTGCAACCCAGGGCCCTGTCTCTAAACTCACCCTAAGTACTCTGTCTGCAGATCCCATCCGTCACTGTTCTCTAGGTCCCACCCCCTCAGGGCGGCCGTGGTGGGCGTCCACATCACAGTCCCCCGTGGCCCCCGGCCGGCCAACAAGGTAGGAAGGTAAACAGCAAGTGACCGGGTCACAGACCTGCTGGCCACGTTCCCTGTCCTCTCTGGCCCACAGGACCAGCCACAGCCAGGACATTGGCCCAAGGGCCGGTCAAAGGAGAGAGCCAAGACTGGTGTGGGGCTGAGAACCCTCCTGAACTCCTATACATCCCCAGATGCCCTGTCCTCAGCGCCCCCCTCCTTCTCTCAAGCCTGGACCACGGGAGGACATCAGACAGAGACCTCACAGATGTGGGGGGCTGCAAACCCGGCCTTCCCCACGACTGGGCACCTACACTGGGCTTGCTGGGCGCAGTTCCGAGAGTCTGCCGTGTCCACCCCACACTCCCAGGCATCCTTCAAGGCTCTAACTCCAGTCCCTTCCCACATGGCTGGTGAGGGGCAGAGTGCCCCTTGGACCTCTCTAGAATCCTAACCACTAGCCTGGGGTAGTAAAGCGGCCCCCACGCTCAGAGCCGGGTGCCCGAGCTCTCACCTAACTCAGTCAGGGAGGGGGCTCACTCACCGCATTTACTTTCCGCCGGCCTGGTACAGGGCGGCCTTGGCCAGTGCAAAGGTCCTGCGGGCAGGAAGAGGGAGTGGGGGACAGACAGGGAGGGGAGCACTCCCCGTCCCCCACACTCCCCAGCTCCCTGCCCCGTCTCTCTACTCAGTCTGAGGTCATGAGTATGCTTTTTGTTTTTGAGACAGGGTCACAAACTCATAATCCCCCTGCCTCAGACTCCTGAGTACCAAAGTCACAGGCGTGTGCCACCATGCCTGGTGGATCTTACAGTACCTGTCTTCTTCCAACTCACCCCACGCATGCACCCTAACTTACCATACAGCCCGGCAGCCACCAGGGGCTGGTCAGACTTAAGATTAGGGTGTGTGTGTGGGGTGTGTGGGGTGGGGTGGGGGTGTGTGTGTGGGGTGTGTGTCTGTGTGTGCGTGTGTGTGTGTGTGTGCGTGTGTGTGGTGTGTGTCTGTGTGTGCGTGTGTGTGTGTGTGCGTGTGTGTGGTGTGTGTGTGTGTCTGTGCGTGTGCGTGTGTGTGTCTGTGTGTGGTGGTGTGTGTCTGTCTGTGTGTGTGTGTGGTGTGTGTGTGTGTGTGTCTGTGCGTGTGCGTGTGTGTGGTGTGTGTCTGTGTGTGTGTGGTGTGTGTACATGTGTGTGTGTGTGTCTGTGTGGTGTGGTGTGTGTGTGTGCGTGTGTCTGTGTGTGTGTACGTGTGTGTGCGTGTATGCACGTGTGTGTGTGTGTGGTGTGTCTGTCTGTGTGTGTGTGTGTGTACGTGTGTGTGTGTGTGTGTGTGTGTGGTGTGTCTGTCTGTGTGTGTGTGTGTGTGTGTGTGTGGTGTGTCTGTCTGTGTGTCTGTGTGTGTGGTGGCCACTGTGACAAGGGCCAGGAGCCATCCAAGGCTGGGGACAGGTGGTCCCTGGGGAGCGGAGGACAAGGCAGACTCAAATGAGGAGACGCCTGTGGGGACCTCTGACCTCCCCGTGCACCCGATGTTGGGGTCACCGCTGTCCTCCGTCACCCCCCAGTCTGCTCGCTTGAGCGACGGGAAGAAGAGAAGCTGGGGAATGTCTACTGGCCAAGCCGTAGGCCAGAGCAGCAGCGTTTATCAGGTGCCTTCTGTATGCCCAGCTCTGGACCGTGCCTTCTGTATGCCCAGCTCTGGACCGTGCCTACTGTATACCCAGCTCTGGACCGTGCCTACTGTATGCCCAGCTCTGGACCGTGCCTACTGTATACCCAGCTCTGGACCGTGCCTACTGTATACCCAGCTCTGGACCGTGCCTACTGTATACCCAGCTCTGGACCGTGCCTACTGTATGCCCAGCTCTGGACCGTGCCTTCTGTATACCCAGCTCTGGACCGTGTCTTCTGTATACCCAGCTCTGGACCGTGTCTTCTGTATACCCAGCTCTGGACCGTGCCTACTGTATGCCCAGCTCTGGACCGTGCCTACTGTATGCCCAGCTCTGGACCGTGCCTACTGTATACCCAGCTCTGGACCGTGCCTTCTGTATGCCCAGCTCTGGACCGTGCCTACTGTATGCCCAGCTCTGGACCGTGCCTACTGTATACCCAGCTCTGGACCGTGCCTTCTGTATGCCCAGCTCTGGACCGTGTCTTCTGTATACCCAGCTCTGGACCGTGCCTACTGTATACCCAGCTCTGGACCGTGCCTACTGTATGCCCAGCTCTGGACCGTGCCTTCTGTATACCCAGCTCTGGACCGTGTCTTCTGTATACCCAGCTCTGGACCGTGCCTACTGTATACCCAGCTCTGGACCGTGCCTTCTGTATGCCCAGCTCTGGACCGTGCCTACTGTATGCCCAGCTCTGGACCGTGCCTACTGTATGCCCAGCTCTGGACCGTGCCTTCTGTATGCCCAGCTCTGGACCGTGCCTACTGTATGCCCAGCTCTGGACCGTGCCTACTGTATGCCCAGCTCTGGACCGTGCCTACTGTATACCCAGCTCTGGACCGTGCCTTCTGTATGCCCAGCTCTGGACCGTGCCTACTGTATGCCCAGCTCTGGACTGTGCCTTCTGTATGCCCAGCTCTGGACTGTGGGTATGGCCGTCTGCGGGGTGCAGGACCCCGTCCGTGACCCTGCTCTGAGTGAGGTGACTCACCAACAGGCATTTACCAAGCACTGACCATGTGCAGAATACCTACTGTGTGCCACCACCTGTGCCTGAGAGCATTTATTGAGCTCCTACTGTGTGCTGCACCCTATATACAGCACATAAGAAATGCCCACCCCCCCAAGCTGAGGGGTAGGTCACTGGGATTCTGGGCTGGCGTGAGGGGCTCCCGTGGCCGCATGTCCCTGGACGGGGAGGGGTGAGGCAGTGGGCCGGTGGCGGTGGGTCGCTGTGCCCTGGGGAGGGGACTGCACGGGATTCTGCGGGAGGGGACAGGAAGGAGCGGGAGGCTCCTGTGTCTGGTGCAGGGCGGCAGGAAGAGCCGGAGAGGGAGCAGCGGCTGCGGCGGGAGAGGCCAGAACGCTGACTCGCCAGAATCCAGCGCCCTGATTTACAGGCCTCGGCCCAGGCAGAGGCACCTTCTCCGCGGCGAGGTGGGGGGCGGAGGGGACGGGGACAGGGGACGGGGCTGTCGCTGTGAGTCCACTGGGGGGACACACTGGGGCCCGAGCCCATGCTGGGCTGCCCTGAGCCAGCTCTCACCCTCTCTGATGCCCCCCCCCCAAAGCCCCTCTGGAATGAAACCCTAAATGTCAGGTGCCCTCTGCTGCCTCAGTTTACCCACTGCTAGGATGGCAGCAGAGAGAGGCGAGGCCACGAGGAGGAATGAATGGAGGAGGGAGGTGGCCTCAGCCCAGGCCCAGGGAATCCTCAACCTCAGCCAACAGGGATTTGGCCCCAAACCCGGAATAACTAACGTGGGGCGGGAGGGCGGGAAGGAGGGAGGGAGGGAGGAAGGGAGGGGGAGGGGGAGGCCGCCTCAGCCCGGGATTCATGGAAGTAACGGCTGCTTCCTCCGAGTAAAAGTGAAAAGGGGCCTGAGTCACCGCCCAGAG